AATTAACATATTATATTATTAGAAATTTGTTCTAATTATATTATTAGAAATTTATTTGAATTATATTTTAAAATATTTATAATTGACTATTTTTTCAAGGTCATTTTTGGTCATTTTACTTGTTTATAAGCTAGTTTTTGTCACATATAATTTGTTCATCAACTAATATCAACTATCAGTTAACTTATTAACTATTAACTAGTTTGTTGGTCATCAGTTAGTTTGTAAAACATAGCTTAAAAACAGTAAAAATATCAAAAATGATGATTCCATTGAACACTAAAAAAATTCCAACCATACGCAGAAAAAACTAAAACCATCTTTAATATTATAATTATATATTAAACTTTTAATATATATATATATAGATATAATTATAAAAACTTAATAATATATTTGTATATATATATATATATATAGAGAGAGAGAGACCTACTTTATTGATCTCCAAATGTAGAGAGCATTTTGACCTTCGTTTTTTAGTATTTTAGTGTTAGGTTGAAGATAAAAACAAATTTTTTTTGTGTTTTTAATATTTTTAGTAATGAATTGAAGATGGTGTAAATTAATTGATAATCATGCAACCATTTTTAACAAACTATAACTACATTATATATTATTCTTTTTATACAAAGAATAATAAATATATAATATACAGTGTTAGACTTGGTATCAACATTTGTAGACCAGTCACGATGATTGCTTTTGCACATATTGTTTTCTTATAATTAAGTCCAAGTGACATTAATTTATAAAAAGAGGGGTATTAATTAATCTTTGGAGAAAATTTGGGCCTGGTGGGATCTTAAAGCCCCACGTCTTTCCTCGATGGCTGATTTTAAAATGCTGATCAAACAAGTAGGATCTCATCGCAAGGTTGGAGTGATTTTTTTATCAGTTTGCGCTGTGGCACTTTGGCAGCTTTGGAAGTGGCGGAATGAAATTCTTCATGCTGAGGATGGGGAGAAAATTAAGAAGAAAGATGAAGATCCATTCCCATGTGTTCAAAATTTATCGAAGCTTTGGATGGGGAACAGAAATCGTAAGTTCCATCTTAATTGGGATAGTTGGTCTTCCTCTCCTTATTCTATTTAGTCGTTCTGTCTGTTTGGGTTAGGTTTTTGCCTCGGTTTTGTTTCTCTTGTTTCTCGTTTTGTTTTGGTGGATTTTTGTATTTCTTGTGTCTAGCTTCTTGTTGGGTCTGTTGTTTTATATATTGGTTGGCTTGGTGAGGGTGATGGTCATGCCGAAACTCTCTTCCTTGTCCTTCCTTTTTGCTTTTCTAAAAAAATTTAATTTAATTCACTTGTAATTTGAAATTTTAATATTTTTTTAACAATGATTTTCCATTGAAAGAGTTAAATTTTAATTAAAATGTTATCACCAAATAGCTTTTAAGGTGACTAGAAGGGTACTCGCGCAATACAGTGAGATATATCTCAATTTCAATGTTCTATTTTATTTTTTTTGGTCTCTGTTAATGTTATAATACCAATTTATGTGGTTTGAGCAACCAATAATGTTTTTCTCTCTCAAATTACACTCGTTGGATGTTAGAGATAATGACCAACTTATATAATTGCAAGTCAACCGACAAAGGGTTATTGGCCCAACAGTATATATGTTAGCAGTAGAGTATAGACTCCGTTAAAATCATGAGTTTAAGCCTCGAGAATATTTGTTGTATATAAATATCATAGAATTCAAAAAATAACAAAAGTAGTTTCATGACATGTCTCCTGATCAAAGTCATGAGACGACCTTCTCTATTTGTATCTAAGAATGTATGAACTAAAGGGTCGTTTACCAAGCACTTACCCGGTAAGCATTTACCGGCAAAATTCAATACTATTATTTACTTACCAGATAAAGATTTTAGTCAACAAAAACGGATTTCTATGCAACAATTTACCCGATAAGAGTTGATTGTGGTAAGAGTCATTGTTCTCACTTACTGGATAAGACTCTAAATCTTTGTCTCGCTCTTACCAGGTAAGATTTTTAATCCTTACCATATTCATCTGGTAAGATAATATAACTTGGTAAGCACTTACCCAAGTAAGCATTTGATAAACAACCCGTAAATGTAATCTTGTGAACAAATTATTTGAATACAAGGAACTAAGAAGAACATTTTTCATAAACACATAAACTATGGGAACTCTTATGGTATAAATCGTAACTACAGGGGATATTACGCTTTCTTATTTCAGTTCAATATAGGGTTCCTCCTAAACCACAGCCCTTTAGAGGCCCATATAGCCCAAATTCAATCTCATATTTTTTTTTAAATTATATATTGATTTATACAATTTTAATTTAACGGTTTAATTTAAGTTTTATTAGATTTTAGATTTAAAATAAATATATATTTTATTTTAGTTTAATTAGGATTTTCTTATAAAAACATTGATAAAGTATTTTGTTTAAGGAATTTTATATTTAAAAAAATATATAATATATTTTATAAAAAAATAAAAAATGAGACCTTTTATTTTAGATTTTCTTGTGTAGTTATATAAAAAGTTTTAAAATTTTAGATATTTTAGAAGTAAAAAAAAATAACTCTTTAATTTTATAATGTGTTTATCTAGGGTGTGTTTGGTATATTGAATAGGGACATGACAGAATAAGACAGAGATTACTGTCTCATGTTTGACATAAATTTTATATGGAACAGAGTAGAACAAAGTGGAACAGGCATGTTTCACCCCTATCCCATTGAACAAGGTGGAACAAACTTATATGTTATCAATATAAACTCAAAATAAAACTTAATTCTCTTCTAAAACATCAAATAGGTCTCTCTTTTACATTTTATTTATTCTTTAAATTTTATTTATTGCATTTTATGTTTCTTAAACTTTCATTTTACTGTCCTCAAAATATTATTTTTATACGGTTTCTATATTTTTATTAATTTATGTAATTTATTATATATTAATAATAAAAAATAATGTAGAAAAGAGATAAAAATAAAAATAGAAAACCACATAAA